CAGTTGGACATTCCGGTTTTTATACTGCTTTTTTTTAATTCACTAACGCTCTAAAAATGAATATTTCAGCCGCAGTAAAGAATCAACGTTGGCGGATTTTGGTTCTTGACATCTTTAACGATCGGTTACGATGCCTAGAGTACTGAGACCTGTACGATTTCGTCAACTTAGTGAGTTTGATAGGGGCCGTATAGTGGGACTTCGGGAAGCTGGACTTTCTTTTCGGGTAATTGCAGTTAGAGTGCAAAGAAATGTAGACACTGTGGTTAGGTGTTGTCAGGCATGGCTTCGAGAAGGCCGTACGCAAAGAGCAAGGGGCACTGGACGCCGCCGTAGAACAACAGACCGTGAAGATCGCCGCCTAAGATTATTGACCTTAAGGGACCGTTTCTCCACTACCAGGTCCATTGCAAATGAATGGTTTGCAGAACACGGAAGACCTATTGGCATGCGAAGTGTTTACCGACGAATGAGAAGTTTTGGCTTGATTTCATACCGGCCATACTGGTCCTCCCTTTAACTCGAGAACACCGACGTAATCGCCTTGAGTGGTGCAGTCAACGGTCACTCTGGGATCAGGAATGGAACAGTATTCTCTTTAGTGACGAGTCTCGATTTTGTTTAGGCATGCACGATGGTGGTGCCAGGGTTAGAAGGCGACGTGGTGAAAGGAGGAATCCACAGTTTTTTGTTGAAGGACATGTTCATCACACTGTGGGAGTTATGATTTGGGGTGCTATAGCTTATGGTTCCAGGTCACCTTTAATCTTCATCAGAGGTAACATGAACGCGCAGCGTTATATCCACGAAGTTCTAGACCCCCATCTTTTACCCTATCTTGACCCCCTGGCAGATCCAACTTTCCAACAAGATAATGCCCGACCACATGTTGCAAGAGTTACAATAGACTTCTTTCAACATAATGATGTCACATTGTTACCATGGCCACCAAGATCTCCCGACTTATCCCCAATTGAGCACGTGTGGGATATGATGGGTAGGAGATTGCACAATTTGCAACGTCCTCCTCAGACTCTAGAAGCACTTCGAGAGGAGTTGGTGGTTGCCTGGAATGAGATACCACAGGAGGGCATTGACCACCTGATCAGAAGCATGCCTAGGCGCGTTGGAGAATGCGTAGCACATCAGGGTGCATCCACACATTATTAAAGGTCAAAGGGCTTTAAAGCAGTGCAATCATTTTGAAATTTTTATCATTTACTTATTATGCTTCATTAAGTACGTATACAAAATTTTAATAAAATAAAACCATTTAAACTGGGTGTTCGGATTTATATGTCACTTAGTATAGAATCTTATTAAAAGTAAAAAATACTTTTCAATCACATTCACGAAAAAGAGAAACGCATTTCAGTATCCGTATCAGATAGAAAACGTCAATATTTATTCTGTCAGCAATATTCGGAACCTGGGTGTTACAGTAGATACAAAATGGAGCTTTAATAACCATGTAGATGAAACCATAAATAAAACAAATAAGATGCTTGGCTTTATTAGAAGACACCCTAGCTACTTCAACAACCCAGCTACCCTCTTATCAGTATATTATGCATTTATACATAGTAATGTCTCTTCCGCGTCTGTTATTTGGTACCCACAGTACGAAGTCCATATAAATCCGAGAATTGAGTCTATCCAACATAATTCTTGTAAATTCTGGCTTATGAGGCGAGTATTATTGTCCATAATCACGATTATAGCTTGGTTTTCCAAATCTTACCTTTGGCTAAGAGAAGGGTATTATCTGATTTATGTTTTCTTGACAGATTCTTGAACAATCAAATTCACCACGTTTACCTTTCATCGAACATCAATATAAATGTACCGATAAAAGTGAATCCTAGACACTGTACATACTTCAATATTCCGCTTTGTAGAACTAATATTGCTTTAAGCTCCCTACTGGTACGAATGCGAAGAAATCTGAACAACTATGGTAAATTTGCTGGTATTTTTGCTTGTGAAATGTGAAAGTTAAAATACTTGATAAAAAACAGAATGTTGGTTACTCCCGAGTAAGCTAGGTTTCCATTTTCTGTTTTATGCTTCTTGATACTGAATTGAACATTATACTATAGTATTTTCGTGCATGTGAATGTCTATTTTGGAGATATTCTCTGTTTGATGTTCTTAATTTGTTAAATAAATAAATACCTCCATCACGACTAGATCCATTTTCCAAAATATCAAAGCTCTTTCTCATTGGCACAGTGTCAAAGTTTTATTAACATCCAAACGGTACTTTCCAAGTAATTGAGCGGCCACGGACTAGCGAAAAACATCATATCTCATGTTCGAAATTGTTGCGGTTATAATACTTTCTCGCCAGTTCGCGTGGGTAGTAGTGTCATAGTTAGGTTTCTACAAACACACCAGATTTTTTTTTGTTTTATAGCCAACCAAGAGAACCGATTTTAAAGAATATTACTAGATAAGTCTTAAGTTATTTATACAGGGTGTTTCAGTTTATTGTTGCATAACTTTAAGATTCGATTAATGCATAAAGTCTATATGAACATGGGTCGAAAAATGCGTGGCTTCCGAAATACAGGGTGTTTAAATTTACTTTCTAAAATAGTTTTTTTTAAATATTTCGAACAATATTAGATGTATAACAGTGAAAATTGGTATACAAGGGTCTTTTGGTACGACAAAACGAACCGTGGGCATAGTTTTACTGTAGCCGCTAGAGGGCGCTTTCTACTGTACCTGTAGTGTACTAAAATGACCGACAAAATTTTCTTAGTGCAATTTTTGGTTTTTTGAATAAAAAAACTGATTCCTCGCACTTTTCAACATAAAAAAACTCTCTTGTGAATTTTTTTTATAGTTAGCCGTTTTTGAGATATTTCGATTTTTAAGGTTCGATGCATTTTTAATTATTTATGATAAAATAACGTTAAAAAGTCAGTATCTCGATAATTTTTAGAAGTAGGCTGTGCCTGCAAATATTTTTGAAATTGAAAGCAGAATAAGGTTAAACGTCAATTAGTTGCCAGTTAGTTTTGTTGTCTGTTGAAACCTGAAACGTTTTTTTGCAATTGTGAATGCACGAAATTTAGTTTCTTTTACCTGATTTTTTTGTAAGTTTTATAAAAATGCCATTTTTATTCTCCAATCAAGAGCTAGCGGATATTCATTTTGTGTATGGCTTTGTAAATGGAAACGCAGCAGAAGCAGCCAGAGAATACGCACGAAGATTTACAGACAGACGACATCCAACTCGCTCAGTATTTGTAAGAGCGCATCGCCAGATAATTGAAAATGGTTTTGGAAATTTCCAAGGGATCAAAACATAAATGTTCATCAGCGCAGATTTACCCGTATGATTCTGCGTGAGTTTGATAGAGGTCCGACCACAAGTGTTAGGAGAGTTTCTGGTGCCTTGGGAATTTCAGCAAGCCATGTTCACCGTGTTCTTAGAAATGACCATAGACGTCCTTACCATTTGCAACCTGTGCAAGGACTACATTCTGCCAGGGGACGGAGAACGAAGAATCACATTTTGTCAGTGGATTCTTGATAGAACTGATAATAATAGGGAGTTTTTAAGTAACGTTTTATGGACCGATGAGTCATGCTTCACTAGACGTGGAGTGGTAAATTTTCATAATCAACATATTTGGTCGCATGAAAATCCGCATGCAGTTCGGGAAAGGAATTTTCAGCATGAATTTAGTGTGAACGTGTGGATTGATATCTACCGTAATCGACTATTTGGACCCTACCTTTTGCCTGCAAGGTTAAATGCTGCGACCTTCTTGGAATTTTTAAAGGCTGAACATGCAAATATATGGGATGATGTTATGTTAGATTTAAGAAGATTGGCCTGGTTCCAGCTTGATGGTTGTCCAGCTCATTATTCGAGAATAGTTAGAAACTGGCTAGACGAAAATTATCCAGAAAGATGGATCGGCCGTGGAGGACCAGTCGCCTGGCCTCCACGATCCCCTGACCTAAATCCATTAGATTTCTTTGTGTGGGGATTTCTAAAAGAAAAAGTGTACCAGACTCTCGTAACCACAAGAGATATGCTAATAGACAGAATCAGGAATGCATGTGATGAAATAAGGCCTTATTAGAATAATGCTATACCACGTTCGATCATTCGTAGATGTGAATTGTGTATTGAACAATTGGGTTTACATTTCGAGCAACTACTTTAGATTTTGTATGTTTGTCCTAACTATCCAATAGCATTTTAGTTGTAAATAATTAATTTAATTTGTTAAAAATAATATTGGAAAATTAAACAAATTAATATTCTGTTTTTTTTTTGGTTATTTGGAGTTAGGAATTATTGCTGTGTTTAAAAACACAATCTAAACGATCATCTTAATTACTTGTAATGCCCAAATCGAAAATGTAAAAAAAAATATGATTTTCCCATAAATAATTAAGAATGCATCGAACCTTAAAAATCGAAATATCTCAAAAACGGCTAACTATAACGAAAACTCACAGGAGAGCTTTTTTATGTTGAAAAGTGCGAAGAATCAGTTTTTTATTCAAGAAGCAAAAAAATGCACTAAGAAAAAATTTTCGGTCATTTTAATACACTACAGGTACAGTAGAGAGCGCCCTCTAGCGGCTACAGTAAAACTATGCCCATGGTTCGTTTTGACGTACCAAAAAACTCTTGTATACCAATTTTCACTGTTATACATCAAATATTGTTCGAAATATTTAAAAAAAAACTGTTTTAAAAAGTAAATTTAAACACCCTGTATTTCGGAAGCCACGCATTTTTCGACCCATGTTTATATAGACTTTATGCATTAATTTTAAAAGTTCTATCGAATCTTAAAGTTATGCAACAATAAACTGAAACACCCTGTACCCAAGCACAAGTTTCTGCGAAACTTTTTTGGGCCCATTCCTTTATTGTATAATATTGTCTTTTATCTACTACTGCTATACTTTTTTCTTTTAACAATAAACGTTATTATTATTATTATATAAAATATCCATTCTTTCAGATTCCATGGAAAACGATTCTTTGGGGACTCATACTACAATTTTTCTTTGGTCTTCTCACAATAAGGTGGGAAGTTGGAAGGAATATCCTAGAATGCATAGGAGCTAAAGTTAATATTTTGCTTGACTACGCATTTGAAGGCGCTGCATTTACCTATGGAGACTTTTTGGTTCACGAGCAGGCAGTATTCGCATTTAAGGTACGAGAAAAATTATTATTGGCCACGATTGTAACCTAGGACAGTAATCAAAGAATTCGAATAAATTAGAAGGAGTCAAGTCTCTATGTTTACATTGCATTGTTTGTAGTTTTGGTGCATGCTTTTGGCTAATTTGACTACCGTTGCCTATCAAAGTGAATAGCCAATACATCGGCGTACATTTTTTTCTCTGAAAAGGATATTCAAATAGCTATTCGTACTGTATGTGTTCACATACTATCTATGTTGCGATGCGCATCGCTCAGTTATTGGTAATAAACAGGGATACATTGAATAAGGTAATGGGACGAAAGCGAATATTTATTGACGGTACAGCAAATTGTCGTTATTACAATGAAACCTTCTAAGCAACAATGTTTCGGAGCTTTCTGAATATCTGTATAGTCAGATATGAGCTCCGTGATCTGATGTATACTTTATCTGAAGTCACTTGAAACACTGTGAAATACCGGGTGCGTTTTATATATCTATATTTAACACGCTCTGTTGCTGCAAAAATCGCCAAATTTCGCAGCAAATATCCCCCGTATAAGATCAAAGGCAGTTTCACCGGTCCACGTGGAGTAAAGCACGCCTATGCGTGGACATAGCCAATGAGAAAGCGTGTATTTCAGAGCTCCGAACAAGTGCAGGTGGCTACTGAAAATTGAAACAGTTTAGCCAGTGCCGTGTAGCGGTGAATAAACGTGTTTTCTTTAGTCTGTCCGTGTTTTTTCATAGATTTTATTAGTGTGTGTGTTTGACTTTTGAATACTCAGTTTACTTGTTGATTTAATTGTTGTGTTGATTGTTCTTGTGTGTCCTAAATATGGCTCTTTGGAGACTTTGGGAAAATGCTCCAAGCCAAGAGGAGATGGTTGATGAACCTGTGCAGGCAGAATTCTTTCATAAAGATTTAGAGGAACAGACCCAAAGAGTAATCCTAAATATGTATGATTGTCTGAAAAACGAAAATCCAGATTCCTCGCAAAATCAAATTTTAAACAGAATTTGTATCCTGACAAAAATCAGTCGGTCTACCATTTATCGGGTTATAAAAAGGGGAGATGTAGTCAACCATTCCTTCCACAGAAAGCGCATAGGGCAAAAATTAAAAAGAATAGACGTGGGTTTTCAGGAAGATATTCGTCGTATAATATACGGATTTTATAAAGAAAATTTGGTGCCCACGTTGGAGATGATACGGGATAAATTAAAAGATTATCCTGAAGATTTTTATAATTACAAATGCTTAGACTCACTGCACTGTATTGTAAAACTGTGTGGTTTTCAATACAAAAAATTAAATAAAAGAATGGTGATTATGGAGTCGTCTCGAATCGTTGAATTGCGATAAGAATTTTTGCACAAAGTTAAAATCTATAGAGAGCAGAAAAGAAATGTGATTTACCTGGATGAAACGTGGTATGATACCCATGATGTTGTGCAGTACGGCTGGGTTGACGACAGCAACAAGTGCATTTTAAATGCACCATGCAACCGTGGAAAACGAATCATTATTCTCCATGCTGGCAGTGAAAATGGATTTATACCTAATGCCTTGCTGTTATCTGCCAAAAATATCAAAGAATCATGTGCCGACTATCATGAGGACATGACCTCCGACTTATTTGAAAAGTGAATAGAGCAGCAGTTAATATCAAACATTTCCCCAAATTCAGTGATTATTATGGACAATGCGCCATACCATTCCCGACAGAAAAACAAAATTCCGAATACAGGCACAAAAAAACAAGACGTTATTGATTTTATGAAGGATAAGGGAATGGAAATACCACAAAAATCAACCAAAGCCATATTATTGGATCTTATTAAAAGACAAAAATTTGAAAAAGAGTATGTTGTTGACAATCTGCTTCAGCAAAATGGCCATGAAGTATTACGTCTACCTCCCTATTACTGCATTTTTAACCCGATTGAGTTGGTCTGGGCTGGTTTAAAAAAAAAAGTAAGAAAACATAATCAGACCCCTCAATTAAGTGAATCGCTATTGGCCACAATAAGAGATGCAGTATCTCATATTGCTGCCACAGACCTATGGAAGCAGTGTTCTAGGCATATTATTGAAAAAGAAAATGAATATTGTGTTTTGCCTCCTGTAAATCCCGTTGTAATTCCTCTACAAGATGACTCTAGCGACAGCTCCGAAGGCGAGGATGATATATAAATACCTATAATGTAAGTCTTTATATACCCTTTTATATACCTACCTGCTATGTAAATATTTGCCTGCATGTCAAACGTTGGAATTCTGTAATTTTTCCATTTCTTAACTTTCAGTCAACATAAATTAAACTCACAATATAAGTATTTTTTATCCCAAATCAAAAAAATAAGAAGATAGTAAAATCCATTTATTGTGATATAAAAAATTATTATCGTTCTAAATAAATGACCGCACGCCTATGATACGTCATGAAATTACAAAGGACGCGCCGACCAAAGGTTTTTATGCTATTTCAAGTGACTTCAGATAAAGTATACAAAAGTTTTATAATGATAAACTTTAGTAATTCTGTAGGGATTTACTAAAAATCGTTGCAAATGGAAGCGAAACCACTTTTTTAAATTTAAAAGTGTTTTCATGTCATTCTGTAAAAATTCCGTCAAAACAACGACGATATGAACAATTCTGCTTAATTAGTGATTTTGAAAGGTGAGCAATACAAAATACAGGGTTTGTCCGGAAAGTAATAGGACTGAAAAATTTATTGAGCCAATCGTTACAATTCTTTAAAAACTTTCAAAATAGGCTCCTTCTGCGTCGATGCAGCGCTGCCAGCGCGATTTCCAAGCATTGAAGGCGGCACGGAAGGCATTTTCCGGAATAGCCTTGAGAGCCGCGGTGCATGCTGCTTGGATCCCCTTTGTCGTCTCAAAATGCTTGCCTTTCATCGGCTTTTTCAGGCGAGGAAACAAAAAAAGTCCGGGGGGCATATCTGGGCTGTAGGGCGGCTTATCCAAGGCAATATCATCTTAAAATAACCTAACTTCTTTATTCCTAGATTAGCGTCTGGAAATAGTGTAATTTTTTTGTTCTAGAACTTGTAGCTAAATTTCGGAAAACTGGGTCAGTCGCCAATAAAAAACGCAACATTGAAAATCCCATAAGGAACGCAGCAATTGAGGTGGGGTTTTTAGGGCAAGTTTATGTAGATCCTACGTTAACACTTTCTAGTCAACACTTGCTTTTCCGACGGATGTTCCTTTTTTTTAAATGGCGTAGTAAATCTTCATAACTCCACTAATGATGATGTATTAGTTTTATTTAAGCTTTAAATCAATAAATCTTCAAAACTACTGAACTTAAGTACATTAATTTTATATCATTATACAGGGAATTGAAATACCTTTAAAATAAGGTATCACTCTTTCCATTTAAGATTTTGGGGGTGGTGCCACATCAGCTTAGGGGGCTGGACGTGCTAACGTGATTTTTTGCCAAACTTGTGTCCCTCTCGAAAACAAAACCGATGGGTCTGAGCGTTTTCCAAAAAAAACTGAGCTGCCACTAAATGCGTCTGTTTCGTTTTCGATGTGCCACCCTGTATATACAATTTGCCGTAATTATAATTCAGTTAATAGTTTTAGATATTTTCGTTTTGTTCGACTTTGGGAGACATTAATACTTACTTTCATTAACGCTTGCATAAATGTCTTGATTCGATTGTTGAGTGGGGGGTAGGTAAAGCTAGAATGCTTTTTTCTCAGAGTTCTGTTTTGAGGATTTTTTAACATTCCAGCTTTTTCTACATCTTGCACTTATATGCAACGGTTTCTTTTTATTTTCATGTTTGTCTATTCTGTAATTGGCTTTGGCTGTTTCTAAATAAATAAATAACATGGAAATTGCTGCTATTGTATCATTGTCACTGTACAAATATTTATCCAATAAAAAGATTTGGAAGTATTTAAATTATTGTGGTATTTATTCATAGTTTTTTTGGGCGTACTGTGCTTCCTAACAACTTCAATCCAAAAAGTAGATAAGGTATAATTTTAGTTCGATTAAAGTTTTGGTTGGCCCTTTTGAGTATCCATCAAAAAATTTAATCTTGTTGTGAGTAACCAGGTACATGTGACTGGTACAGTCATCAAAACTAGTCCCGAAGTGAACGTGTTAACAGACTTTGTTATTTAATTTCAGGCACTCTCTACAATTTATTTCATAAGCTTTCTTGTAAATATCCTCTATTACTACGGCATCATGCAAAAGGTCATCGGATTTCTTGGCGAAGTTTTGCAATGGATAATGGGTACTACTATCTGCGAAAGTGTCAACAGTGCTGCCAACATCTTTCTAGGACAGGTATAGAATGTTGCTCCAGTTCTTACTCTACACTACCAAACCACTAAATCTGAAGCAGTATTTGTTGTAGTTGAGGAATTAAGTCAGATCAACGCTAATAAGTAACATGTTTTTGATGTGCGTATACAGAGTCCAATTTTAGTTTTTTACAAATACCTCAGTAAGCCATGAAATTTTTACGTTTTATGAATGACATGTAAATACGCTCTAAAGAACGCAGGTTTTTCCTAATTCAACTCAAACTGTGTCTCCCACAGATATCCTCATGCATAGGATCCTTATCTTGGATATGAAATTCAAAGACATAGGATCTCATTTTCGAGATAACATTACTTCGTCGCCAATTGGCATGGGAAGTAAAATAAAACAACAACCACTTGCTTCATCAATATATTTTCCTTTATTTATGTTCACTGCTAATGATTTACATTATATATTTTTTTCAGTCTGAAGCGCCGCTTCTGCTTTCCCCTTATCTGAAGGACCTTACCGATTCAGAAATACATTCAGTGATGACTTCTGGGTTTGCTACTGTAGCAGGTAAACATCATTCTACTTCGTGCGGCAGACCATCAATTCCATCAGTTATGATACAAGCTACCTACTATCACGACCAGCAAGTCTCAAAACAAAATACCACTAAAATTGTTTTGTAAAAAGCATCTGTTCTCAGGTTCTATAGTGCAGATTCTTCTTTAATTTGTTCAACATAAGTAGGAAAAGCCAAATGATTGTGATACACATTCGAAACACTTTTATAGGTTCTGTTATGGCTGCATACATAAACTATGGAGCAAGACCTCAGGATCTAATCACATCCAGTATAATGTCGGCACCAGCAGCTTTATGTTTTAGCAAGTTGATGTATCCAGAAACAGAAGAAGTGAAAGTGAAGAAGGAAAATATACAAACAGTGGAAAGGTAAATATGCCTTTTACTTTATATTCTGTTGACCCAGCATGTTCAAAGTGTCCTAATTTTAACTTCATAGGTATACAGGGTATTCTGAAAACATCACAATCTGTTATTAAAGGGTAAAAGGCAGTACTTGTATCATACAGAGAATACAAGCAGTACAGTTTGAAGACTACTGCTTTCTTGCTATGATGAATATTAATTTACAGCTTTTATGCTTAGGAATTAGTATGAAATATTTAACAAAGTGAAAAAACAACTATTTTTGTGACATAATATGATCAATGATATGTTTTGTATTGTAATAATAAAAAATGTATTTACGTCAAATTTAAAAAAAGCAGTTATTATATTTATTGATTTTCAGGCATTACGAATCAGTATTGGATGCAGCCAGCAAAGGTGTTTCAGATGCCATTGCAATGGTGCAAGGTATTATTGCTAGTGTTTTGTCCTTCTTAGCCTTTGTGTATCTCATTAATGGGATCCTTGGATGGCTTGGAGAACTTGTAGGTAAGAAATGTAACCCTACATTTACGTTTTATGATTTATTTAGTTCGAAATATGATATTAATACACAATCATTAAAAAATACAAAGCAATATAACAATACATATGCAGTAAAACATTAGATGAATCAAGATTAATACATCTTAAAAGTTTAAGTTTAAGCGAATCAAGTTTCATATAGTTATCCAAAATAATACTCATCTTGTTAAATTACTGTCAGAGCATGCCAGTACCGTATCATCAGCAAAACGAATTATGAATTCACATTCAACAGAGATGTGCATACCAATGAGGCAGTGGCGTAGCAAGGGGGGGAGAGGGGGTGAAAAACTATTTGCGGGCAACAATGACCCGATCCCGGCTTAGCAATCTTGGTATATTAGAAATCGAACACGAGGCAATACAAAATATAAACTTTGATGAAGTTATTTCTGAGTTTGCAGTTGTCAAAGCTAGGTAAAGAAGAGATTTTAATTGCAAGATAAAAATATTTTTTCTGTCTTAGTGGTTATTGAGTTTTGTTATTTGTTCAAAATATAAATATTAAATGATCCATGACGTTTTTAAATCATATAAAATGTATTGCTTTTGACTTTCGATGGAGTGATACACGCAAGGTAGCTACGCCACTGCATTGAGGTATAAAACAAAAAGAAGCGGACCCAGCACACGGCCCTGCGGTACTCCAAATTATACACGACATATTCACCGATTCGCACCCTTTGTTTCCTGCCAGTACTAAATAATTTTGTAAATGTCTAATACTGCCCCTTTAAAGGGGTTAACAATGGAGCGTTAGGGGAGAGAATATATCTCAATTTTTTTTCGTTGGTATATTTATACAGTCAGGTGTCGATGCATGCGACGTCGTTCCCCGATGGACAAGCGCAATCGTCTGTGGTCGTGCATCAAAGTCGGCAATCACTTCCACTCTACTGCGGACTGCGTGAACTGTGCATGGTGAATGCTAATATAGTAATTCACGCGGGGTTGTGCATCGAAACGACCATGTGCACCGCTCAGGGGGAGGAGGAAAGTTATTTAATTTTTTGTTATACACGTTCGTGGCTAACTTTTTTCTCAGAAGCGATAACTTGTGCCAGCGACAGAGTCAACTTACTTGGCGCCATTTTTTTTTTTCGTTGAAAATCAAGAATATCGTCATTGCATCATTATTATATAGGTTGTAAAAAATTATACTATAACTATCTAAAACTGTAATGACTCATCGATGTTCACGTGAACATCACTTAACTACCAGTAGTCGGCTGTTCATAGGCGGGGTATGAATGTTTAACATGGGTGAACTAAATTTGTCACATGTTTAATAAAGAGTGGTTTGAAACATATTGTAAGTCAAAAATTTGGGAATTACCTTTATTCATCGTCTCTTCCACTTACATCTGACAGTAATAAACTGTCGCTATCGCTTTTCTCGTTGAAATTGACTATAACTGGCTCTATGATGGTGTCGATGTGGTGGTCAAGCTGCCACATTTTTGTTTCTTCCTTCACAACATGACGGATAGCATTCTGCCAAGCTTCGGGCGTTACTAGCTGTATGGAAGTCTCAAGTAAAACCTTAACGTCTGGTAATTTGAAGGTTGTGTTATGGCGCGCAATATAACCCTTCACTTGAGCCCAGATGAGCTCTATTGGGTTCAGTTCACAGTGGTAGGGCGGTAACCGCAGCACAGTGACACCACATTGACGGGCCATCTCATCAGTCACGTAACTAATGTTCGCAGGTTTGTGCTGTTTAATTTTTTCATACAATTCCGCTTTCACACATGAATCGTCAAACGGGATTCCTTTTTCGCGCAACCATTGCTGCATGTCACTTTTTCGAGATCCCATAGTCGGTACACGTTCGGCTCGTCGACTATGGTAGGAAGCATTATCCATGACGATCACAGAGTTGGGCTCAACTCGCTGAAGCACCCCTTGAAACCAGCTCTCGAAGCAGCTGGCATTCATTTCGTCATGGCAATCACCTCCTTTCTTAGAGACGAAAATCAAGTCACACTTTTCTAAAAAGCCACTATCGCTACCAATATGAGTTACGATCAATCTTTGACCTTTCCCTGACGGTCCACGAAGACCTGTTGACAAACCTTCAATGCTTGCTTGTCGGTTACTCACTACGTTTTTGTCTATCCAGTTTTTTTTAACTGTGTGACCTGCATTTACCCATGTCTCGTCCAAACAATAGATTTTTCTGCTTTGTTCGCCTATATTCAATCATTTCGCGTAGGTATTTTCGACGCCAGGCGTCTATTTCAGGTCTCTCTATCAATACTGACTTCCGATTACGCGTTTCTTAACGAAAATTAATTTCGTGCAGGGATTTCCTCATTACCTCGACGCTCATTTGGGGTATAATTTCATTTATCTTGATCGCTGCATGTACAGCCTTGAGGGTTGGTATCTCTTTCCTAAGGAAGAATGAATGTACGGTTCGCCTTAACGCCATTTTGCTATCGTCATCCAATTTAACGGCCTTTCGTCCCTTCAAATTAAACTTTGGATCAGTAGTAGCTCCAGTTTTCTTCTTTTCATGCACCACCCTGCGAATGGTCCACTCTGGAACGCCTGTCATACTTTCACAACGCGCGAGTGCATCTCCATGCGACATAGTTCTGTTCAGATAATTGAACACGTTGAGCACGATTTCTTTCGCGTCCCTCTTCAGTGCTTTACGAAGCCGTCTACTTGTTCCCTGGCTTTCAGTACTTCCACTCGTGCCATTTGTACTCTCCATGGTTAAGTATAACCAAAACAGTAACCACAGAAACCACAAAAATAACAATCACACAACAATTCTTATAAAAACACACAATATGCGATCGCTCAACGAAACATGTTCCAATGCGTTGCCGACGCCTCTGAGTCTGCTGGTCGAGGCGCGTCTTTGACTTCATTGGTTCTACCGGCGGAGAACAATCAGCTATTATTTCCATCTCTGTCTGTGCTGTTGACCACCGCAAAGCCACAGAAACGACATATGTCGTACGCTATACGGCTGTACTGGAAGGAAGCCGGGATCGAGCTCTGATCACGTGTTGATCACGCGTATGAGTCATTACAGTTTTAAATAGTTGTAGTATAGCAATATTGCGTTGGATCTAGTCTGAGTCTATAAACACCATCATTTAAGGCCACAATTGGTTACTATGCTGTCAACTTAGTATCGTTTAAGTTATTTGAGAAAAACAATTTTCCAGTAGCGTCTCTTAGGGGCTGTATCTTCATAGGGTAGCCTCGTATAACTTTTTTATAGCAACTTGTTTTGTGGTTGATATGCACACGAGAGTTTCTTCAACTGGTTAGGTTAAAATATTTGTTTTGTAGGTTTCCTGGATACAAGATGGTCTTTGGAATTGATGGCTGGTAAAATATTCGTTCCGATCAGTTTCCTGATGGGAGTCCCATGGGACGAATGCGAAAGTGTCGGGACTCTGATTGGAATCAAAACTATGGTGAACGAGTTCGTGGCATTTGCCAAAATGAAAGAGATGCTCGAACAAGGATTACTCTCGGTAAGATATCTTTTCATCCACCTTACCCTATCCACGCAATATACAGGGTGTTTTCAATGTTGAGTCATTTATTTTAACTGATTGTAGGACTCGGCAAAAGTAGTTGATATATAAAAAATATATTTTAGACGAGAAGTTTATGACCATCTAAGTAATGAGATTCCGAATAGATGGATAGGGCGCAATGAACCCATTTCTTAGCCTGCTCGCTCCCCGGACTTAACGCCTTGCGATTTCTTTTCTGTGGGGCTATTTGAAACGTGTTGGAGTTGGGTGTATCATGACGAGTTCTACAAGGTGTTAAAATAAATGACTCAACTTTGAAAACACCCTGCATAATGTACTGGACGATTTAAGAAACTGTGGAAATATTTCTGGGTCAGAAAGCACGTAACACCGAATGATCCTATAGACATGGGTACTAATCCGAGAGAAAAAATATATTGTTAGAGGCAAAGACAAAGACTTAGTGGACGAAATTTTGGAATAAAAAGACAGCTGCTACGCGTGGGAACGCTTATATGTATATACGAGCCCCTTCCCACTTCAGTTTTCCCAACTATTGAAATCTTAGTTTTTTTCTTATCAAACACAAATAATAAAAATGTAGCAAGGTGTTATAGGTTTAAAATATTAACAATGAAAATTTTGATAATATATAGTAGAAAACACCAACTTTATCACTCCCTAATCAAATTTGCAGCATAAAAATAACACATGTTGCAATTACTGCATATCAACCTATTTTCATTTCAATGCAAAATAAGTCTATAACGCATGGGTGGCTGTGAAAACTAAAAGCCATGACAATTGTTTTTATTAATCACAGCTGTCAGAATACGTTTGAAATAGTTTTGGGTAGTTAAGGTTTTCAAAATGGGTATAGGAAAGGTTATTAGTGAGAAAATTCGGTTACTGATAATTAAATTTTTTAATTCTGGGAAATCAAACTCGAAAATTGCAACTTTGTTAGACTTATCGCGGTACAGTGTGAGAAATATTGTTAGAAGATATAACGTAACTGATTCAGTTAATATTAAGCCACGATATGTGAAAAAAAGTAATATCACAAATGCCGACCGAAGAGCATTAAGAAGAATAATCGTGAAAAACAGGCGTGCCAATTATTTACAATTAAGTGCTCTGTGGAGTGACGCTGTTCGAAGGAGAATTTCGAGGTCCACAACTCATAGAGAGGCCCACAAACTGTTATTTATCACTTGCAAGGTAAGTTTTCTTATAAAAAAAAAGTGAAGTAAAAACCCTAAAGTTGCACAACTTGTTTATAGGTCAAAGAAAAGCCACTATTAACTCCACTGCAAAAGAAAAATTGGCTTAGATGGGCTAAAGAACATAGACAATGGACACCTCAACAATGGTGTGCAATACAATGGAGTGATGAGGCCCGATTCAAAGTTTGTGTTGGTGACAGTCGCAGTAGAGTTATTCGCAAAAAAAAATGTAGCATTCCATGTTGACTGTGTGAAGAGAAAAGTGAAATTTCCATCATCCATTATGGTCTGGGGCAGTATGTCATCAAATGGAGTAGGAAAACTTCATTTTATTGATGGAAATGTGGATACAAACAAATATTTGGCAATTTTAGAAGAATCGCTTTTACCAGTGATGGAAGAATGTTTGACATCCGGCCAAGATTTTGTGTTTCAGCAAGATGGTACAGCGTGCCATACCTCAAAAAAGGCTATAAAATGGGTGGAAGAAAATAATGTACCACTTTTGAAATGGGTTTCTAGCAGTCCAGATCTGTCACCCATTGAAACTTTGTGGCACGAGATGAAAAAGGTTCTACGACAACATCCTGTTCGTACAATCACCGAACTGAGACAAAAGCTTCAAGAAATATGGGATTGTTTTACACCAAAGAATTTCAGCCGTAATAAAAAATAAAGGTGATGTTACCCAATGGTAATCTTTCAATTGTTGCTTTGTTAACTTCGCGCATTTATTCGCACATTGTTTAATTGTTCAGATGTTCTATTAGTTATAGGTCTAAGTGATTTCAAATACTATGTATATTTTACGACTAGAGTGTATCTAAAATGTTTTTGAGAAAATAAATTGTCATAGAAGTAAATAGTTTCGTCATGTTTATAAAGGCATATTTTGGTACAAATCTTGAAGTGGGCCAACTGAAGTGGGAAGGGGCTCGTAGTACATATTTTCGAGATCACCCGTACCCCAATCGTTTCTTAAGGCCCCACGAAGTATGTTTCAACAGTTTTTTAAAATCTTCCGCCAAGTAACAAAAATTCGCTAAAACCCGACTCGAGCCACAATGTCACTTCTTTACATTCCAGAAAAGAACAAAAGTAATAGCAACGTACGCCATCTGCGGCTTCTCAAACCCTGGCTCAATAGGCATCATGATCTCGGCGCTGAGCACCTTGATCCCCCATAAAAGAGAAGCAGTCACGCGATTGGTCTTCCGGGCCTTCTTCGGAGGAGCGCTAGTCTGTTTCATGACTGCTTGCATCGCATGCGCACTCATGCCTGAAGATGCCGTTTGAAGAAGAATCGAAATAAATTTGGGAGTTTCAAGACTGGCAATATAATATGCTATCCGTTTCAAGTTTGGCAGATTAAGAGGGGCGTTTAGATATACATTGAATGCGGCAAGAGACAAGCATCATACTGAACCAAGCATGTCGGGAAAACACGATAATATATTTTTTTCTGTGATGGGAAAAAAGTTCGACATTTTATCTCAGTTGACAGGTAACAAAATGACACTTTTTATGGTATTACTTTTTTTCCCGGGAAAAAAAATTTGTTTGTTTCAACTTTATTTAGCATTAATGCTACAATGTCCATAATATCTATATCACAAAATATATTATGTCTTCAAGACTAAATATTTTTATACAAAATTTCACTACTATGAATTCTGGTCTTCCATGAGATATTTTTTCAATTTCCCTTTGAACATTTTCGAACTAACACACATCTTAAATCTTGAATACTGACTTGCTCGTTATATTGCTACTGCAGTTTTGTAAATAAAAGTCTATACTTCCTCTAGTAGAATAATTGTGGCACTCATCGTTCAATACAATAAAATTTTCTGAGTGATTTGATAGAAGATGATTTTTCAACTTACAATATGAGAATGAATACCAAGTAGGCTATGAAATTTTTGATATTTAACCATTGTAGTTCTTTCAGCATAAAATTTATTCTAGTATATTCATTTTTATTTAAGATGATTCTCATTTTGTAATATTTGTAATTTTGAAAATACAGTTTCATTTGCAGCGAACAAAATAGTCGAACAATATAACAAATGAGGAAGAATGATAGTGTTCTACACAATTTTTTTAGAATAAACGCTTAGGCTATGCGAAATTCTATAAAAGTAATTTATTTTCTTGGATATTTTTGAAATATAAAAAAAATTAATTTAATGTTACTGTTTATTTTTTCATGATTAATTGTAAGATTTATCGTATTTTGATCTAAAGATTTTTCTATTAGCATATATTTTGTTTTGTTTGTGTTAAGTTTAAGTTTATTTACATTTAACCAATTTATTACGTTTTTCATATCATTATTTTCAATGTCTTTATTTGATATATATATATATATATATATATATATATATATATATATATATATATATATATATATATATATAAATGTATCATCAGCAAATAGTTGAATTATGCAGTGTTGTAAACTATCAGGAATATCGTTAATATATAAAATAAATAGTAATGGACCTAATTTGCTACCCTGTGGCACATCTACCGAAATGTTTTTAATGTTTGATAATGTACTCGTATTGCCAATTTTAGTTCTTTGACTTCTACTGATTAAATAATTTTGTAATAAATTGAACCTTGAAATCCATAGCAATGCAATTTCGTTAACAATTTCTCCTTGTCAATAGTCTCAAATGCTCTCTTGAAATCTAAGAAAATGTTAATGTAAACTTTTTTTCATCCATATTTCGCCTCCATTCTTCTACTACCATTTGAATTGCCGTTTCAGTAGAAAACTTTTTTCTGAATCCTTCTTGGAATTTTGTCAATATCTTATTTTCTTCAATATATTCAATGACTTGTTCATATATGATTCCTTCTAAGAGCTTTTTTTTACTTTTTTCCTGGATATTGTATAAACACATATTTAAGTGGAAAACATTTTTGTGACGCTCCTTTGGCTACTTCTACTAATTCCGGTGGAGTCAAAGAAAACTCGGAATCAAACATTTTTTATTTTATAGTATTAAAAATAGCTTCTAAACAACCACTAAGTTCTCAATTTTTAAATCAAATCACAAAATTAAATTGACAGCTATTTGATTACTTCAAAAGCTTCCTCAGCATCGCAGGTCTAATTGTCGCGATAATTTTCTGACTGAAATATTGTAATAATACAATTTTTCAATATTAAATCGACGTATTTTCACAGAAAAAAAATTGTGTATTATATACGGGAAAAATACTAGGTTTTAGCGAAATCTAGTAATTTTTTCCTTGTATAATAAATAACTATTTTAACATATGAGGTCTGTAAATTAAGTGATGAGGCTGATTTTTTTTATTAAAACAATTTTTTATTGTCACCCGATCATTCTGCCTGTCATCCGATGATCTGAATGCGCAAGATCCCAGATTCTGTCGATATTTTCATCGGTTCTTGAAGATGAAGACCCTCCGCTTCGTGATTCATTTTTAATCCACTCTCTTCCTTCTGAAAGTGCCTTTCTAGAACACAAAAAAATCGCTACGGACTATCAAATGACTCGATCGAGTTCAAGCTTGTACCGAAGACGGATCACATGTTTTCCCGTCTCTCCTCCAGAGCCGGCGACTCCAGTGTTGTCAGATCGAAAGCTACGTTGCCAGACTCATCACTTAATTTACAGACCTCATAGTCTGTAGAGGGCACATTGTTATTATCTTATCATTGAAAATACGCCAGAATCAGGATTCTTACAATAGTAGAACAAAAATAAGTAATATAGCTTTCGTTCGCTTGACCAGCTGTTTTGTGCTATTTAGCAACTCCTCAGCATGGTCTAGGCTTGATCTCAGGTAGAATAACGATCGAAAGCTGAGCAACTATCCTCTATATAGCATCCGAACTGATTATCTCGCGACTGACAATGGGAACAGTGATGGATTCTAGTAATAGATAGCATTTTGTGCTGTCTTATCTAAAAATTGATATTTTACAACCCTGTTTCAAAAGATTTTCATATCAACATCAAATAACTGGCCTAAAAACAAAGTAAGTACTTGGCCTGATGAATTCAACTGAGACTAATAACCATAATGTTTAGATGCTTGATAATACAACGTGGAAGCTCTTTAAAAAGGACTTGTGGCAAAAGTTGTGTCTCTTTCAAAACGTGCGTCCTGCTCTGATGCTTTGTCTTGATTGCAATGTAAATGTTGGGTTGCCATTTCTATAGTTTTCGCTACAAATAAAAGGTTCTTACATGTCTTCCTTGCAAGACATTTTTAAACGCCCCTCTTAAGATGGTGTTAATGAATGTTTGTTATTACTTCGAAAATGTACTTAAATATTAATATTTATACATATTAAATGTAGAATTATGAGGATTGTATAGGCATAAACATCTACAATTTACCTGGCATTTCACTAATTGCCTTATGTTAACCATACTACACCGCACAACGCTGAGGCGATAACAAATAATTAGAACACTTTTAATAATTGGATAAACATAATTTGCTGATTGTTTGTTTAATTGAATACTCCCTCGAACATTCCAAATACAACTTTATTTCTCTTTTATTCAAATTCTTCTGTTAGTTTTACATTCGTAAAGCTGTGTGAGGGTGAATAATATTTCTGGAATGTTTAGTGAAAGAAAAAATGCGGAAACACAGAAGTTTCACGCAACTGGCAAGGCGCAAAGTGAGTATTTAAGCTATATGTACAAGACACTTGATTTTGAAAGCTCTTTTGGTCTCATCGCCAGTTATTCCTGCCTGATTTTGCAATCTCTCTGATAAAAAATTGTGAAATACAGCTGACATAGCCGAGATATACCCAGTATTTCAAATTCGAGTTTTACCATTGGAATATCGCAAACGGTAAGAGATACGAAGTCGCATTAATGAGGGAAAAGTTGCGTATTTGGTCAATTAAGTTTCGAAATTAAAAGTGCTTCCGCAGAGAGACTCCCAAAATCGTTTTAACTGTTTCCCAACTTTATTTGTAGTGAGATTTCAAAATAAATTGCAGAAGAATATTGCCACTTTTTCCTCTCTACAAGATGACATAATTTTATTGTCATATCGATGACGTTTCGACTCTGTACTCCAGCATCAACTTTATTCTTTATTATGGACGTCATAGATGAATAGAGTTTCTGATTCTGATTCCGAAAATGTATTGTACGTCATACATTAAAATTGCCAAACCTTAGTTATTCCAAACAAGCAAAATTTTCTAGGTACCTTGCCTTGAAATTATCAGGTAGTGATTTGTTCTGCATGTAAGACTTATCCCAAAATTTGTTTGTTTGTTTCAGATTTATTTAGCATCAATGCTACAATATTCATAATATCCCTATTATACAGTATATCACCAAATATATTATGTCTTCAAGACTACATATTTTTTATACAAAATTTCACTACTATGATTCTGGTGAATAATATATTCACAGGCCCTTCAAATTTTAATTTACTGTCTACGTATATGCCCAAATATTTAAATGATTCGATTGACACAATTTTTTTATGATTAATTGTAAGATTTATCGTATTTTGATCTAAAGATTTTCCTATTAGCATATATTTTGTTTTGTTTGTGTTTAGTTTAAGTTTATTTACATTTAAAAAATTTATTACGTTTTTCATATCATTATTTAACAGCTCTATTGCAGTTTCAATGTCCATATATATATATATATATATATATATATATAGGTGAAAAACTAAAGCTTCCGAATTTTGTTGGGTACTTCGACAAAATTTAAGCAAAGAGGACTCTTTATACTTTTTCTAATTCTCTCTAGCTTTCAATGGACTTTGCCATCATCATCAGGAGCTGCAATTACATTGATAACAGTAGCAACAATAGTGTAAAATGAATTTAAATTGACTTAACTTACAGTAGTATGTGAGGATGTTGCTAATTGTTGTTTACGTTCAGGATGAAGGAAACGCCCAGTAACATGGTGAAAGCTGGACAGATGGTACAATGGTCAAAATTATATAAAATACACACAAATGTGTGACAAGAACAAGTTAAAAATAGATTAAAAATTTTTTTGAACATGAAAGCATTACATCGTGAAGCCACTTGATGATTGCACAAAATGGTGGTCATGGAATAATGAGTGAGATGAACCATTTGACAGAAGGCCGAAGGATGTCAATGTCTGTGTAGAAAGATGGAACGAATTGTGGGCCTGTGCCACGTTGCCAAATCATTTCAGTTGATGTGATTTTCAGAATGTTATGTAAGAAATTGTTAAACCGACCAGAGGCAGTTGAATTAACTATATTTTAATTAATGGGAAATTAAATTAACAATTATTATTAAATCGTGAGGAGAAAATTATTAGAATTTGAGTGGAATAAAGTTTATTGGTGGAATCGACCAAGAAACAGATTCCATTTATGGTTGTGAAGAGTCAAAATTTGGGGAGATATGTAAGTTCTCCAATTTTTCGCAGTTTAGCAAATATGAGTAAATGACACTCAGTTGCTTAACATCTGTCTTTTTGTTGATACAGTTGTTATTCATGAAAATGTGGGACATTTCCAGGAATAAACGTTTGGATAGGTGTTTTTCTTTATCAAGAACTTTGATACTTGTGTAATTCATAGAGTGCCCTGTTGTGTTAACATGAGATGCTAGAGCGCATCTTTCAGGATGAAGCCTAGAATCACTTTTGTGTGATGTAATCCTTCCTTTAAGAGATCTGGAGGTCTGACCTATGTATATTTGGTTGCAGTTGTTGCAAATGATGGAGTAGACTGTGTTGGTTAAGCCAAGCAGCAGGACTCTCTGTCTTTCATTTTTGAAAAAATGCAGTTTATAGTGAGGACGGATTTGCAAGCAATTCGAAAGTTCAAAGGACTGCACAATCTGATCAGCTTAGGGGTCAGTTCCTTGATATAGGGTAGGACAGCAAAACCAGGTCTGGAGTTTGGGTTGGTGCTTGTACTGTTTGAATTGATGTTATTGTTGGGAATTCTATCAGTTCTGTTATTAGAAGTTGTGCGACTATTACTTGTATCATTAGAGTTTGGTAAAATATTGTAAGGTGAACTAAATAAGATCTTGTTAATCAGACACTTCGGATAACCATTATTGATGAACAGTTTTGATAGTTTACGTAAATTTGAGGTGTGGAAAGTATTGTCTGAGATGCTGATTACCCTTGTTTTCATCTGTTTCATCAAGTTGATTTTAATCCCTAGCTTATGGTATGACCTAAAATTGAGAAACCGACCTGAGGCCATAGGTTTCTGGTACCAGTCTATCAATAAACTATTGTTGTTGGTGCGGATGAGTCTTGTGTCTAGAAAGGGGACAGACAGGTTCTCATCTTCTTTTTCAATGGTAAATTGGATGTAGGGGTCATAGCTGTTGAATTCTCTGACAATACCATCCAGACCACTGGAGGGGAGGCATAAAATAATGTCATCTACGTATTTTTTTATGAAGAAGAGGTTATAGGGTAGTGTCGGAATAATAGTATCAAGCAGATCATCCATGACATATTCTGCCAAAATTGGTGATAGAACAGATCCCATATGACAACTGTGTTTGAGAATATATTTTGTTGTTGAAAGAGAAATAATTGTTATGAAAGAGGAATGTTATAATGTTGGTGAACGATTCTAGAGATATGTTGCAGTGTTGACTTATCTCATTCCAGTGTTTCTTTATAGTTCTTGTACATGCATCCAGATAGATATTGCTGAATAGCGACACCACATCAAGACTGGCGATAATGTGATCGGATGGTATTGGCAATCTGTTGAACTGACGAGAGACTTCAAATGAGTCTTTGATGTAGTAATCATTATCTGCATGTGCTGATTTTAGTGTTGCCGATATTAATGAAGACAAAGCCTGGGTGGCTGAACCTATTGATGCAACTATAGGTCTTACTGAGAGTACAGGTTTGTGAATTTTCGGAAGTGCATAGAATTTGGGAAGGACAGAGTTATAAGTAGTCAAAGTTCTTTTTTGTTCTTGGGTTATTTGTCCAGTGCTGAGAAGTTCCTTAACAATGTCATTACTTTTCTTTTCCACTTTAAGTGTGGGATCTCTATTAATTTCATGGTATGATGGGTCATCATTGATAAGATTGTTGCAAAGATCTAAATAGTGTTTAAGCATTATCACTGTAACATTGCCTTTGTCAGATCTTGTAACCATAAGTTCAGAATGTTGTTTTAGAAATGTTCTAGTTTTGTTTAAAAGGTTGTGATAAAAGGAATTCTTTTTATTAAGATTGTTACTATGATAATAGTTAGTGATGAGGTTAGTGGAACGAGTTGTGAAAATGTTTCTTTCAGTGTCATCACTTATGGTGGATGCTATTGTGTCTACATCAGCTAGGATTGATCTAATTGGAATGTCATTGTTAACAATCGGCTCTACACTGAATTTAGGCCCTAGGGAAAGAAAAAATGTCATGAGGGATGTCAACATTACTGAGATTTTTTATCCAATTTTGTTGAGTTTTGAGCAAGGTTTTTCTGGTGTCATTCAACAATCTGTCAAACTTACGAATATTACAGTTTTTTATGTTATGAAAGATTTTATTGTAATGTCTGAGTTGTCTATATTTGAAATTATCAAAAATTAGGGGAGAAATTGAAGAAATTATGTCACTTTGGAGTAAATTGAGTATGGAATGAAGTTTTTTCAACTGTCTGTGGCAGGAACTTCAATCACACACATACTAGAAAGCCATTCAATAAAAGATGGGATGAAAAATCGTCTGCACAGGTTAGGTGACAAAATAAACAAACTTGAGATATCTTCCTGCCACAGAACAATGTTACTGTAAACTTTTTTTCATCCATATTTTTATTTTTTTTTTAATTTGAGATGGAATTTCAAAATAAACTGCATGTTGTCAATGTTACTTATTTTCCTCTACAAGATGGCGTAGTTAAATTATGAGTTCGACCAGTTCTTCCGACTTCCATCACCAACTTCGTTTTTCCATTTGGACGCTATATTGGAATTGTGTACGTTTGAATGGAGGCAAGTCATAGCACATTTTCAAAACACTGTCCGTTATTTGTTATTTTGTAGGCAAAGCTTGACTCTTCTCTGTACATTGTTCACTCATCGATTTATTTCTTTTCTCATCAGTTTTCCAAACTCTTACTATGTTCAATTTGAGGGCTGCTCTGGTATATGAAACAAATCACTATTTGATCATTTCACGGCCTACCCAACAACTTCTCTTTTCCTGTAATAGCTATGGCAATCTATGACATATTTTACATTTTTGATATCAGAATTAAAAATTTTATTCGTCTGCTCAAAAATCCAATATGGCGACCTTAAGAAGACATAAAGTTGATGCAGGAGCACAAGAGACCAAACGTCAGATTGAAATTATAATTATGCCGTCTTGTAGAGGAGAAAAAGTGCTGATGGTAATGTGTAATTTACACATCCATTTACAATATCCCACTACAAATAAAGTCATGAAAAAACTGAATCGGGTTTAGGAAAATCCTGTTTTCCGACTATCGCTGGAAGAATTTTGAATTACGA